GCAACAAGAGAAGCCACCGCAAAGAGAAGCCCGCACACCACAACGAAGAGTAACCCCCGCTCACCACAACTAGAGAAGGCCTGCGCACAGCAACAAAGACCCAATGCAGCCAAAAATAAATAATTTTTTTAAAAAATCAGTAGAACTTTTTCATTGAATCATCGCAATAAATACAAGAAAAATATTTGGTAAAATCTGGTAAAAATTATTTTTTCATCAAGGTGAAATTGACATAACATAAAATTCAATTATTTTAAACTGGACAATTCAGTAGCTTCTAGTATATTCACAGTGTTACGCAACCATCACCACTATATAATTCCAGACCATTTTCATCAACCCCCACAGAAACCCTGTGTCCATTTAGCAGTCCCCCTATTTCCCCCTCCCCTCAGACCCCGACAACCATTAAGCTGCAGATTAATGTCCCCATGAATGTGCCTATAATTACATTTGAATTGAGTCATGCCATATGTAGACTGTTGTGTCTGATTTCTTTCACTTAGTGTAATGTTTTCAAGGTTCATCCATGTTGTAGCACGTATCAGTACATCATTCCTTTTTATGGCTGGATACAATTGCATTGTATAGTTATACATTTTGTTAGTCCATTCATCAGTTGATAGACATTTGAGTGTTTTCCACTTTTTTGCCTGCCTTTTTATCAGAGAGTTCAATCCACTTATATTTAGTGTAATTACTGATGAAGAGGGACTTACTTCTGCCATTTTGCTACTTGTTTTCTATTTATCTTACATATATTTTGTTCCCGGAAATATATATATGTATATATATATATTTGTTAATTTCTTAGTGGTGGTTCTGTGGATTACAAGTAATATCTTAATTTATAATAATCTCGTCTGAATTAATACACACTTATGTTCAGTAGCTTAAAAACTTTGCTCCTATTTAGTTCCATCCCCACCCGCTTCTGTTGTTTTCGTCACAAATCACGCTTTTATACATTGTACGTCCATCGATATCATTTATAATTATTGTTTTATGTAACCGTCTTTTAAATCAATAGGAAATAAAAGTGGACTTAGAAACCAAAGCACAGTGATACTGGCTTTTATATTTACCTGTGCTCTTTACTTCTTTGTATGGATTTGAGTTACTGTCTAGTGTCCTTTCATTTCAACCTGAAGGAGTCTCTTTAGCATTTCTTGCAGGGCCGGTCTACTAGTGACAGATTCTCTCCGTTTTTGTTTATCTGAGAATGTCTTAATTTCTTCTTAAATTTCGAAGGATAGTTCTGTGGGTGTTGAATTCTTGGTTGATAGATACTTTGAATGTGTTTATCATCCCACTGCCTCCTGGCCTCCATGATCTCTGACGAGAAATCAGCTGTTATTATTATAGAGGTTCCCTCCTACAAGTCAGGATTCTCACTTTGTATTTGGTTTTTAGCAGCCTGATTGTTATGTGTCTTAGTGTGGATCTCTTTGAGTTTACCCTACTTGGAATTTGTTAAGCTTCTGGGATGAGTACATTCATTATTTTCATCATATTTGGAAAGATTTTGGCCATTGTTTCTTCAAATATTCTTTCTGCCCCTTTTCCTCTATCTCCTCCTTCTGTGACTCCCGTTATGCATATGTTGGTTCACTTGGTGATATTCCACAAGTCTCAGGCTCTTTTCATTATTCCTTTTTCTTTCTGCTTCTCAGATGGTCTAATGCCTATTGACTTATTTTCAGGTATACTGAGTCTTTTGTCTGCTCAAATCTTCTGTTGAAACACCTCTAGTGAATTTTTCCTTTCAGTTACTGTACTGTTCAACACCAGAATTACTATTTGGTTCATTCTGATCATTTCTATATTTGTATTGATAGTCTCCATTTGGTTAGACATTGCTCTCATGGTTTCCTTTGGTTATTTGTACATGTATCTTTAGCTCTTTGAGCATATTGAGTAGTATATTTAAAGCCTTTGTATAATAAGTCTAATGTCTAAGCTTTCTCAGTGGCAGCTTCTGTATACTTATTTTGTATGAACCATACTCTCTCATTTCTTTGCATGCCTCATAACAATTTTTGCTGTTGGAAACTGGACATTTTGAATATTATAATGTGGCAACTTTGGAAATCAGATTCTCCTCCTTCTCCAGGACTTGTTGTCATGTCTTGTGGTTACTGTTGTTTTCTTTAGTGATTTTTCTGAACTAAATTTGTAAAGTCTGTGCCCTTTGTCATGTGGCCACTGAAATCTCTGGTCAGTTAGCTTCATGGTTAGTTAGTGATTTGACAAAGACTTTCTTAAAAGCCTGGAACAAAAAAAAAAAACAGATAAGTAACAGAAACACCAAAAACCCTCCGAGTCTTTGCAGAGGGGCTGTGTGTGAGCTCAGTGCCTTCACCTCTCACCCAAGGAGTTGACAGCTCTGCCTTAGCCTTCACTTCCATTTACATGGAGCCCAAAAGTCACACAGAGGTGAGAGATTAGGGCCTCTCAATTCTTTTCTGAGGATGTGCCCAGCCCTGGCTATGCACATGCACCTCTAGATTCCCAAGGATATGTGGGAGGTTTTCAAAATCTTATTCCCCAAAGTACCTCACTGCCCAGCTTTTCCTCCCAAGCTTTTTAGTGTGTCTGTTGTTTGCCCCAGTAGCAATAGCTAATACGTTTGCCTTTAAATGTTTTCGATAAATGTTTTGACAAAAATCAGCCCCTTAGGTAGCTACTTCTCCATGCTGAGAGAGTTCCTAGTTGGGTAAAATAAAGGCAAGCCCGTTGCAACAGTCCTTCAGGGAGCCACCAGAAGGTCAAAACAAAAAACCACAGTTCCTTGGGAAGGAGGTCCACTCTGCTGCCTCTGGCACCAGACACCCACACCTGGCACATGGGCTGCCATCGTCAAGACTGCCAAGCCAGGCCAAACCAGGGATGGGGGCGGGAGGGCAAGGGTGAGAAAAGTGACCCAAAGCCCTCATGCTGAGCGTGAGCTGCCTTTCCCCTTATTATTCGTTCACCTTGTTTCTTTACATCTTTGACTGTATTCCAAAGTTTTGATAAAGTTTATTCCGATAGTTTCTGCGAGAGTATTTGCTAGCTTTTGGAGTCCCTTACTGCACCATTTTCACTGATGTCACTCCTTAGCAAACATTGCTGATGAAACCCTGTGAGAAAACTATGAGTAGCTGGGAAATTCCTTGACTTGATAAAGAGTATTAACCACAAGTCAACCGCAAGCACTGTAAGCGATGGTGTGGCAATGGTTACACAACAAAGTGAGTGTTCTTTGTTTTTTCTTTTCAAATTTATTTATTTATTTTTGGCTGCATTGGGTCCTCGCTGCACGTGGGCTTTCTGTAGTTGTGGCAAGCGGGGCTACTCTTCGTTGCGGTGTGTGGGCTTCTCATTGTGGTGGCTTCTCTTGTTGCAGAGCACGGGCTCTAGGCACGCAGGCTTCAGTAGTTGTGGCTCGTGGGCTCTAGAGCGCAGGCTCAGTAGTTGTGGTGCACAGGCCTAGTTGCACCGAGGCATGTGGGATCTTCCTGGACCGGGGTCGAGCCTGTGTCCCCTGCATTGGCAGGCGGATTCTTTACCACTGGGCCCCCAGGGAAGTCCCAGCCTAATTATTATTGGAAAATGATAAAGGACACTGTGCCCTTGAAGATAGTGTGGGGCTAGTGATGGGAGAGCTGAAGGGTGAAGGAGGCAGTCCCTGTGGCTGCATGGGGAGCTGCCTGGAGATCCCTCTGGACAGAGGCCGTGGCCCTTGTGCAAGGAGACAGCCGGCCTCAGGTAACCCAGCTGCCCCGTAACGTGATGCCCTGCCTGGGTCCTGAGGGTCCAAGTCAGCCAAGTGCCTGGGCCACGGGGTCCTCCCGGAGCCGGGGGCACAGTGAGGGAGGGGAGAAGGGGTGCCGTCTGATGCATCTCCTTAGTCATCTTGTCCCCCCAAAGGGTCACACAGCTCCGGGTCAGACTCAGCCAGTGCCGAAAAGAAGCCAGAGCGAAGCCAGAGCCACCCTCCCCACAGCCCTCCACCAGGGCCCGAAAGCCCCAATGGTTGCTTGTTTCTTCTCTCTGTTAGCCAAGAACAAAGACCTGGCTGTAATGAAGAGGCGCTTATCTGGGGGCTGTTAGGACCACAGCCCAGATGCAAGCCCTGGAATTGGTTCCACCAGCCTGAGATCTGCCTCTTCAGCTGGGCCTGGGCACTGGCGGGAGGACCCAGACCGGGTGCTGATGAACACTCTCAAGCAGGGAACTGGCTCCCCGCAGGGACCCCTTCCTCTTAGCCAGGACCTGGACCTCAGAGGGTGACAGCTGTGCCTTGGGACCTTGCCCTTTCCTGTCAGAAGAGAGAATAACATTTGTTTGGTGGAGGTTTACAGGAACATTGTGACCTGACCATGACCTGACCTCAAAAACAAAGGCTCTGACACCAAGGAGTGTGCAACAGCTAACCACGCCCCCCCTCTCCTTTCCCATAACAGGGCTTCGCTGAAGGGTTTCGGGGAGTTGGGGGCTTTTAAGGCATGAGCCACCCGTCTCCTTGCGTGGCCCTGCAATGAACCTCTCTCTGTTCCCAGCTCTGATGTTCTGGTGTTGTTTGGCCTCATGGTGCCTCAGGCACACGGACTTGTGTCTGGTAACGACTGCACAGGAGTGATGAGGTGCCATCTAGGAAGGATGCATTCACCTTGCCACATGGGTGGCCCACTCCCTCTGTTGTCCTGGACCCTGCGGTATGAAGGTCCTTCCTCTTCTTAGAGCCTCGCCTCCCCTGTCCTTGCCCCATGCCGCCTGCAGCCCATCCGCCCGTAGTCCATCTCCCTTTCTCTGAGGGCCTGTCTTCTGAACCAGCTATCAGATGGCAGAAGCTGAGGAACAAAAGCGAGCAGTTGCAGCGTCAGGATCCAGGCAGGCTTGGAAGCGCGGCAGGACATCACAGGGAGGCATTGGGACGCGCGGGGCTGTTATAAGAGCCCGGCGCGGCCGTGGTCTCCCAGAGGACGTGGCGCTTCTGCTGCAACTCCTGCCGCTCGTCGCCGCGTCCTCCGCCGCCGCCTTCCCCGAGCCAGCCCACGGCGCGACCCGCGCCCACTCGTCCTGCCCCGGGCCCCTCGCCCACACCGTGCACTTCACGTTGGTGCTCGCGTGCACCGTCGCGCCTCTCTGCGGGCCGGCGAGTTCACGCACCCGCACCGGGCGCCTCCTGCACCCTCGCCCCTCGGCGGGGCTGGCCCGGCCCCTCGCCCTCGCGGTCCCGTCCAGCAGCGAGGGATCGGGCGCCGGGAACCGCAGCACAGCGGACCCCCACCCCGCCGGAGATTGCCCCTCCCAGACCTCCAGCGTCGCAAACCGGCTCCGCACACGCCGGCGGAGCGCCCCCGACAGACGCCGGGCCGGGCCTCCAGCTCCGCGCTGGTCAGAGGGTGGCCGCCAACCCCCTACTGGGACACCGGTCGGCCTTGGACCACCGCTGGACCCCAGATCCAGGGCCTGCACCTTGGACTTCCTGCTCCACAAAGGCCAGCCGCTGACTCACAGGGAGAGTTCCTGGGACCCCTGCCCACCTCCATGCAACCTCTCAGTGGGCTCCCTGCAGAGCAGTCACAGGCCCGTGTGCCCTGACCCACCCAGGAACCTTAAACCAAGGTCTCCTTGGACCCCAAGCCGGGCAGAGGCCAACCACTGATGCACGCTGACAGTCCCGTGGCCCTACCTGAGCCTGGGGACCTTACATCTAATCTTAACTGCGCTTAAATCTACTCCCATAAGAGGACAAAACACCATCCCACAGTCAGCCCCAAGTCATCCACGCAGTAGCAGGTCCCCACCTTGGATGCCCCACTGAGCAGGGGACTCCCACCCACCAGCACCAAGAGCCCCTTGGGTGCCCCTGGACTTAGGGAACCAGATCCCAAGGTCTCTGCTTTGGTCTCCCCCCAGGAGAAAAGGCAACCTTCACATCCAACTGAGCGTGCCCTGGACCTCCGCCCACCACCACCCAAGCTGTGTGCAGGCAAGTCCCGACTCAGCCAGGGCCGCCTGGGATGAGCAGAGGCCGCAGACCCCCATCTACGCGCAGCCCGTAAAGCTGGCGTCCCTGCTGGCGACTCCCTGGCAGCAAACAGCCACGGCCAAACCACAGTCGGAGCCGCCACAGCCCATCCACCTGCACACGCTCCAGCCAGTCTCTGCACCCGACCGTGCGTCTGGTGGGGGGCAGCCCCCAGCCTGCCCTCAGAAAGGCACGTGTGCTGGCCCACAAGGCTTTGTTTCCAAGGTGGACCCCCCACCTCGGCCAAGGGAAACCAGCCTGCACCTCCACACCCCTGCAGACCTTCCATCCAGACCTTCCAACTTTGACCCTTCTCGTGGCAAAGGGAAGCCTCCAGCTCCACTCCCCCTCCTACAGGACCCCACCCACGTGTGCATGGGGAATCC